CCAGCAAAATAAAGGCAAATCACCATTTACAAGGCAATGTTCAGGTGTTGGCGACCAACAAAAGGGGCACAGCGTCCGAATCTGGGCATGAGTTCAAGTAGCGCACCTTTGGTGGACATCACTCGGTTGCTTTCTGCTCCCCTGCTAAAAGTTTGACTTTTAAGTGGTTTAATGGAAGTCCGAACATCCAAGCAAAAAAGCACCAAAAATCAGGTGGGGATTCATGAATCCACAAATGAGGCGGCTCCCTGTCAAAAAACTCATGGCCCATATGAGCCCGGCAGCCCTTCGGCCGCTTCTGCACAGGCCCCAAATTTTTCGGGGGATCGGTCGATCAACGGAATGCTCTGCTTGCCAGAACTGCACCGCACACGCGTGGCCATGAATGAAAACGCGTGCTGGCGGGACTGGTCCATACACAGAGAAAGCCGCAGCATCAATTTACTGGGCTGTCCTCATAGCCCCAGAAAGTTTCTCACTTTTAGCGGGTTAAACGAGAAAACTAGCACTAAACCCTGCCGGACGGCTGGGCCAGCTGCACCAACCGCGGCTTTTTGCTTGGCAAAAACCACTTTCTGAACGTGGAAGGAGCCATTGGCCAACCGGTGTTTGCTTCGCGCCCCACTTTCTGAACGTAGGAGGAATCGAACTCTCGAAGGTTTAGCAAACTTGGGGAGCCATTTGCTCGGCTCAAACAAATCGCTTTTGGATAGAGCCCCCTTTTTCCCTGGCGGCAAAAGATCTGCGATTTGTGGAGCTCAAACAAAAAGCAGTCGTTGGGTTTGTCAAGCCAAAACGGCCGAGCACGCAAAAGAACATCAAAGCTTCCGTGGCCTTCCGCGGCAAAACGAAGAACAACGTGCTCTGCGGGAGATTCCGCGAGCTTCCGCACCATGAACCGTTCCTTCCGCAGGATCCCATCCTGGCACCCCAAGACAAAGTTTCTTCATTGTGTTTTGATCGCTGCAGTCTCCAGTTGCGAGTTGCCGCAAAGTTCTGGACACAGCCAAGCTGTTTGGGTCAGACGGCTCCGTGCTTTACAAAAGTCACGGCAAAATGACTCATGCTTCTTATGATGCGATCTAACGCCACTCCTGGCAGACAACCCAAACGAGGGTTTCACCCTTCGACAGGACAGGCAGGGCTGTTGGCGTGCGCGAGCGCGGAGGTGAGTCTCACGTCACAACAAAGTTCTGCGCGCAGACAGGCCGGTGTCCAAGTAAATCACTGCCCATGATCAAAGTTAGGCCCAGTTATAGAATGTACATCTTATTGTTTGCTTCACTTTGAGTCACCGGTAAAATATAAAATGTATCCTAAGTCTACCCGAGTGCCATCGGAGCGCCTACGCCCATCGCATCTGCTCGGCCAGGCCGTCCGGTCGACTTTATCAGCCTACTGAAAGCGGCAGCTCGCGACTTACTTTGAGACTGAGAGGCAAACACTCGACCCAGCCTGCACTGAAGTTCTTCGCGCCATTTCGCGCCGCCAAAAAAGGGAGCGGTCCACTCATTTACTCATTTAATGAGTTGACCGACCAAACACAGCCCAAACTTTTTGCCTGCTACTAAAATGGTCTCTGCAGAAAGTGTTTAGAAGTCCACACTCGCAAGTTGCGAGCGCATGCGCAGGCCGGCAGCGCTGTCTGCCCGCTGCCGCTGTCTCAAGTTGCCGCTTGCCAGCGTTAAAGTCCAGGAACTCGGGAAGTGAGAATATGACGCCCCTTGTGATGCCATCTCACCATCCTCCAGGTGTCTCATTCCAAGCTGCGCCAGCCTTAAAAGCGTCACCGGGCGGGAAGTTGCGGCGCCGGGCGCCGCAGCTGCGGTCGTGCACCTCAAGTTCTGAGCACAGCCAAGATGAAGCCGGTTGGGCCCAACGCCTCCGCGCGTTGCTCAAGCCAGCATCTTGCTCCTCATGCCATCTGCTAATCCAAGAAGCCTTGTAAGAGCACTAGCCTTGCAACGAAGCGCTGGGCACGGCTTCAAGCTGGCTGGGCCCAAGCCTTCTGCGCTTGGCTCAAACTAAAGTGATGCCTGGTGATGTCACCTGACGGTCCTCCCGCAATCCTGCGCATATCGCATATCCCATTTCGCGCAACGTCTTGCAAGCCACTTGTATGCGCAGCCGGCGACTGAAGCAATCGCTGGCCAAGACTGCTTCATACTGCTTCATTGAGTTGAAATCCAACAGCGCGCCGGGCTTGAAAGCCTGGCAGGAAAGCTGCAGCGCTGCGCGTGCTGCAAGGCAACACGTCCAAGTGAAAAGGCGCGAGCGCGTACGCACGCCAGCAGCGCTGTCTCTGCCAACCACAGATTTGGGCACAGCCAAGCCGGTTGGACCCAGGCGCTCTGTGCTTTATCCAATTACAACAAACTCGACCCCCTGTGGTGCCGTCTCACGCCTTCGCTGGAAGCCTCCGAGTATCTCATTCTAAGCAGCCTCTTGCGAGCTATCCGCAAGTACGGGAAGTTGCGGCGCTGCCAGTTCTGCCGATGTTGCAAGACAATCGTACACCTCAAAAGGTGTCTTGGTGAGCTCTGCTCCTTGCGGATCTCAAAACAAAGTGCCCTGCGAGCTACTTGGCTTGAAAACCAGCCACAGCACATGCTAGACCAAGACGGCATTTTGACTGGGTGAATTACAATATTTCACCGTTATATTTCAATCATGACAATTGAAACCCAAAGCGCGGCAGGCTGGAAAGTGTGCGGGCAGGAAGGTTGCGGCGCTGCGGGTGTGCAAGGAAGGGCAGCCAGCTGAAACGGTGTGAGTGCATGCACAGCTGCAGAGGCAGTGCCAAATTGAAGTTTTCCACACTGATGCCATCTCATGCTACTCCAGGTAGCCTATGCAAACCTCCTAAGCAGCCTGAACAAGACCGCTCCCTGCGAGCTACTTTGATTGAACACCAGCCACTGGAGCAAATGCTAGACCAAGACTGCATCATGAAGTGCGCGAGCGCGCAAGAGATGCGCATGAGCCTTGATAGCTCTATGCCCGGCCAGATCGGATCTCATTAAGCTTACCCAAAGCGCAACCTCCAAACTACTTGATGCGCAGCCAGATGAGCAAACGCCAGCTTCAAGACTGCTTCATTGGACTTGCACTCGGCCAGCTGCAGCCGTCAAAGCCACAATGTTCTGCGCGCTGCCGCCCACGGCTCCGTGCTTCGCTCGAGCCAGAGCTCGCGATTTCATCTGGCGCTGGCTGTTCCAGCCGGCTTCCGCCACAAGCGGCCACACTCGTTCCCGCAAAGTCAGCCCGACTCTCCGTAGAGCACGCGCTTGTGAGCCAAGCCCCAGAGGTCCTTCGGGAGAAGCAAGGGTGGGGAGGGGGAGCATCTTCTACTGTAGTGATTGGATTCTAGTTCCAGCAACAAGGCAAAGGGCTTGTGTGCGACTCGGCCAGGCCAACTGCCGCTGGGTCGGCAGGCCGTGCTTTCCAAAGAGCGAGACCTGCGGAATTTGCATTGCCTCCATGTGAGACCAGCGGCATCTGGGACCTCTTGGCGAGGTCCAAACGCGCCCCAACTGGGGATCTCTAAACGCCAGCAAACTTTCTCCTTCCCTCATTCTAAACAGATCGCGGCGTGAGAAAACACTTCTAGCCCACCCGCCGGGCACGCGAATGTGTCTGGAAGCAAGCAGCTGTACTGTTCGCAGCCCAGGCGCCGCGCGAGCGTGGCTTGAAGCAATTGGCACACGCTGGACGTCAAGTGAAAAGCTCCTGCGGCTCCGCATGCTTCTGGCCCGCGCCTCTCCATGTCATCCCAATCTGGCAAGGCCTTGCCTCCAGTTCTTCCATTTGTCTAAGCCCCCTGGAAAAAAAGAAGTCCAATAGTGATGCGTTGTGTTGTCCCCTGGAAGAACATGAGAATTCGTTCCAGTAGTGAAATCGAGTCCCTTCAAAACCAACCGTGGAAAGAAAAAACACATTCATGTCAGCGAATGGAAGCTTGGAACTGCCAGATCAGGGCAGTCACTGGCTCACCTCTGACTCGGGCCTCAGCGGTCGACGTGGGCGGCCAGCTGAAAGTCTGGTTTCCAACCACTTCCTCAGGGCGTTTCTTGGGCTTTGGCCCTCGCTTCGACCAGATGCCCCGTTCTGCTCATGGCCATTTTGCGCACTCCAACCATCAACCCCAACCCCTATCTACACGAGACGATGTTGCCAGTCCAAAAAAGGATGGAAGGTTCCAAAAAGACCTACTCTATGGATCCTGCACCAACATACCGTTTCTTGGTTTTTACAGGGGGGACTTATATCATTCCCTTGGGTCTCTTAGAACGAACGGTGCGAAACGGATGGCGTTCGATTTCAATCGTCCACAGTATCTGCAAATCTTGCAATAATTGAAAAACCTGAAATACAAATTGGATCCCCAAGTCAAGGATCCAACCCTCATGGCTGAACCGCTCGTTTTGTTCCCATCGGTGGAAAACCGCTCGATCCAACAGCCAGACGGGATGTCCCTTCCCCGCTTCCCCGGATCGTGCAGCCCTACCGAGCAATAAGGGTACCCGATTGATTTTTTCGGCTTTGTCTATTTTAGCAGGGGCTTTCCCTCCCAACCAAAACAGGGGTTAAAGAACGGGCACCTAGCTGGGGGAAGTAGGATTTTATGACAGGTCTTGGGATGTATCTGACCAGAAC